ATCGAATTCCGTTACACGTTCAATCACTCGCACGTAAGCTCTGAGGTAGGCGGCGCACCATTCATACCATATCGCCTCCGTAAGCGTATGATAAAAATATGGCCGGTAAGCGCAGTCTTACCGGACATTACGATCGTCCAGCCGACAGAAATATGCAAAACACGCCTTTTACGACGCAATGCCCGTCATCAGGAATGCATCACAGGCGCCGGCCGAACTCCCAGGCACGCGTTGTGAAACGAAATCCCGCAGTGAAACCGAAACAACACAAATGAAGCGTGATGGAGGCGGTGCGCCGCTACGAAATCCGGTCCTCGGCTGCATGTCTATCACTGTGGGCCGGTGCGGAGTTCGGGGCTTTCAAGGCACCGGATGGGTCCTGTCGGCCGGTGGGTGGCCGCCGAGCGCACGTGCCGCCCCCCGGGAGGTCGTCATCGGCCCTGGGTGGCCGGCGCCGGCGGACGGACGCCATCGGCCGCTCGTGGAGCCGCTGACGGACACTGACGGTGTAGCGGTACGGCGGGTGGCTGCGAGAAGTAGGGGTTTCACGGGCCCACAGCACGGCCGGTGTTTTACAGCGCGTTTTTACGGCGAGGTGTATATCAGATGATGTGCGTTTTTCCTGACGGTTGTGGCGGCATGAGCTGGCACTTGCCTGAATACGGCGGCCTGCTGCCGAGTGCTGAGTGATTCCTGATCACGATTTCTGATGTGACGGAGTTCTGCACTTACTATAATTCTGAGAGAAATGGCTCTGGTTCTGTACGTGGTCTGCAATATGCAAATTACAAACTACCAACAGCCGAACGCAGCTCCTTTCTATGGTTTGTTTTTATGTGTTGTAGAGGCTAGACAAGTCAAAAGAGCGCTTCATTTAAAAGTTCAACGAATTCCAGTGGGGGGGGGGGGGGCTCAATATCGATGTCGATCTGTTTTTCAAGGTCACGTTACCACCAGTTCGCTCTCCCATACTGAAACATGCAGGCACGGTCTGCATATCTCTTCTCACCAAGCGGGTTCGGTCTGGACTTAGTATTCGTTTCCTGTGCTCGTTCGGTCTGGACTTAGTATTCGTTTCCTGTGCTCAGCACAGCGGAGATCCGTGCCGCCGTTGGTGACCACCTCACCATATGTAACTTTAGACGGTTCTGACTTTCGAGAGCAACTTTGTAAACGGCTGCACGATGGCAATGTGGCGTGGGCTGCTCTCGACCTCCTTGGTAGCGGTGAATATCAGAATGTGGTCAATGGAAGGTCTTCATGATATTTTGGAAGGCTGGGCGCGCGGCAGTGGCTGGTGGATTGCATGAAGTGAGAAAATGACGGCGAAAATGAGCGCGCTTGCTGAAAATACAGCGAACTTAATTGATCCAATGGAGCATAATAAACGTGCAAATTTACTTGAGAATATTCAGACATCAGAGTTGTCTTTAACATCTTTGATTTGCCTATGCATAACACCAGACTTATCCTAATGACCTTTCGAACCACTCCATTAACAAACACATGCGTCTTTGAAGAAGGCAAATGGCATGCGGCGCGCACTACAACACGAGAAACAACGGTCATTACCCAACTGTGAAATAACGACAGTCTCGACCGGCATCATTACTCGTGTCATAAGCTGGACCTCTAAGGCCCTCCCGAGCTTTCTGAAGAACAACGGCGCCGCATGCGTGATTTATCTCCATATTATTAAACTGGGACAGTCTGGAGCGGCGCGACGCGGCGTGGCGCGGCGTTCTCGGCGCAGTGCGGCGCTCCCGACGCGCGATGGGACAGCTCTAATGAGATTGGCCCGGTGGGGGGCCGACACTTCTCTCGCTATCCACCGCGGCTGTGGCCGCCCGAGGTGGCCAGTCGACCTCTCGACCGGCGGAGTTACCGCTCGGGAACGCAGGGCCAGAGCGTTTGTCTATTTTCTGCTTCTGTTTTGGATCTGAAGTAGCACCATCGTCTTTCATTAGTGTTATTGAAGTTATTAAATTACCCTTGTGCATTATGAATAACCAAAATGTAGCGTAAAATGCAAAATTTATGTAAAGGTTACCCTGGAGAGCTTGGTTTCGTGTGCACACTCAGGATAACTGAACACGTTTCATTTCGGCGCCTTTGAGTAGGTGCATGACCTCAATGTCGCCTATTAATCTTGCACACATATGCAAAGTGGTAGGTCATGATTATTGTTTATACAGGAAGAAACTCAGACATGCTATCTCATCCGCCGAGGTGTCAGATTCATTAGCCGAGCAATTATTTATATTAAAGATTCATATCAAATGGATTCACTGCATGACTCGGGATACCACATAGGGGGATGAAATTAGTGTTTTGTTGTCCTATACGAACCGACATAGAGCTTTCACAGGCCATAAAATGACACGAATTTTGATTGGCAGACTTACAGGGAGTGAGTCACCATAAATAACGAAGTAACCAAAAGCCTACGCTATGAGTCTCGCCATAAACAACAAGCAGCAGCCACAAACAAAACATACAAATGAGCTGTGGTCAGCCGATCCTCTGCAAAAATGGCGAGGCCTCTGCCCATCGTTTCTGTCTCCCTGGCAACATGCCAGGCAACGTTAACCGGGAGCCCCAGCCTTCCAGCACAAAAAGACCGTTCAGTTCCACTCCTATTTGTCATCGGGATTTTAAAAAGGCTATCAAGTTGGCCCATCGACAAAACACCCTCTCCAGCCGAGCGGCACGTCCGCCTCTGGAGTCGGTGGCACGTGCCCCGTGCTACCTCTCCCACTCCGGTCCGCCCACAGCCCGTCCGCTCCGCTCCGCTTCGTTACCCGTCCACCCAGCCACTGAGACTGGCCTGGAGATCACCAACGTAAAGCAGTCTGCAGTAATGTAGCTGTTCAACCACACCCTGATGCGACTAGCCATGTCTAAGTAAGTAGGTAAAGGATTCTGCTCGGAATTCCGGAGCTCATAAACTCATGACCAGATGACACAGGTTTGGTCAGCAACAGGTCACCGCCTAGCAATGGCTGCAGATTCTTCGGCTACCCATCAATCATAATCGCTATGTTTGACGTTCCGTGAAGTGTTCAGACCACTGAATGTTGCCATCGCTGGGTTGACTGGTATTTACAGAAACCAATCGAACCCCGGCGGATCTTTGATGAGCACTCAGCGTACCCCTAGCGGACCTCCAACGTACCCCACGACCCAGTGCACTCTCCCCTGGGCAATTGGTCACTCGGACGGGGAGCGGTCACCTCCTGTCGGCACGCGCTCGTCTCTGTCCTCCCAAATAAACAGTGACCTCGTCCCGGGCCTGCACTGTGGCCGAGCAGGTAGCCGCGGGGCATGAGCTCACCAAAAGCGACCCTGACGCCAGCGTTTGAAACACGAGCGCGCAGAAAAACAAACAGCCGGACGGAGATGAGCGGAGACTCTGTTCGCTTCAATAAACCCTGTCCTTGGCGTACTGGGCTCACAGTCGGGCGCCGTACCGTACGCTATCGATCACGGTCGACGTATGACTAATGAGACGTTCATGGGACGGTGTTTGTGTGGTTGCTGTGAGCGCGGCACAGTGAACCGAGTGTGGTCCTTGTCGCGATCCGTGTCAGCGCTGTATGATTCGGATCACAGCCCGTGTCAGCGCTGTATGATTCGTGAAGGGCGGGACGGACGCCTGTTAGGTCTATGCTCGGTCGTAGCTCGGCGTCGGTGCCACGCCGGTACCCTCCGAACGCCAGACAGCCAGGTGAGCGTCAGAAGGGCGCCGGTGGGTATCGATCCAGCCCGCACGGGGCGCGAGGGGCCAATATTGAACCTCCTGTCCCCCACCCCCGCCTATAGCCGCGCCCTGCAGCCCTGCCCCACTGCGGCTGTCTGAATTGTCCACAGGCGGCGGAGAGATTGCGCCGCGGGCAGGAGACGTAATCAACTGGACCGCCATCGGGGAGCGAGAAAAACTGAAGGCGTGGGAGGATCTGAGGAACTGGATGATTGGCCGGGGCGGGAGCGGACGCGAGAAATCGATGGGCGGCGACAACGGCAGAGACAGCGCCAAGTCGTCGAAATACTTGTTTAGAAATCCGAACCCTGCTGGAATGCGCTACGACATGGGTAAAATGATTCTAAAATAAGCACACGTTTGCAATGGCTTGCAAATTTGCCATGTCAGCAAATCGGGGCCGTACCGCTGCTCCTAAGTCATGATCCCACAGGGAAAGAATGGGCGTTTCTCAGCGCCGACTAGGATTCTGCCACTCCCCGACCCCGATATCACTGGGGAAGAATGGGTATCACTCGCCCCGGTGCCGGTGCGCCGCGACCATCAGACGCCCCGCCGCCACAGGTCGGCCGAGGTCGTGACGCTGCGCCCGGCGCCACCCGGCTCAGACATCCTTCAAAGGGACCGCGCGCTAAGCCCCTGGCAGACCCGGTGGCCTGCAGTGGTGATGGCCACCGAGACATTTAGGGCCCGAGCTGTCCTGTCCAGACGCAGCTTGCACTTAGTTGGTGGAATTTATGCTGATTTCATTCACGTCCCGAATCTGACTACGACTGCGCATTGCTGACCGCAGGCTGAATCCGATGTTGTTGCCTTAAAAGTCGCGTGCAGTGCACGCTATCGGAAGCGGTGAGGTCAACATCTGACCGAATGCATTATTTTTGGTCCGTGCTGGGAAACAGACTGTCTCAATGGTGTGTTTAGATGTGAATGAATGAAGCTTTAAAAGCAGGAGACATTGAAGCTTTTTATCTCAGATCCTGAATATGATGCCCAATAATGAAAGGGTTAAATCAAGCAAGAGACTCCCTCTGCCAACTCTTAAAAATGACTCTTCTCCGCTCGGCGGACGGCGACCGATTGGTAACAACGGGTACCTATCTATGAGCAAACGTCGGCTACGGTGGACCACGCCGATAGAGTTGCTATAGCTTTCATTCAACCAGATCCACTCGACCATTACCTCCGCCTGGTTAAAACAAACCTCATAAAATCCCCTTTCCCCTTCGCAGGTACTCACAGCTCGAGGACGAGGATGACGTAGACGTCGTTGTCGAAGACGTCGTGCAGACTGATGACGTTCTGGTGCGCCATCTGCATCAGCAGGTCCACCTCCTGTTCGATATCTGCCATCGGCTGGCCGCGTCTCGACGAGGCCACGCGACGCTTCCTGATAAACTTGGCGGCAAACTCGGTGGCAGACGACTTCTCCCGACATCGGCGCACCACGGCGAACTGGCCGCTGAAACCAGAGAAACACAGGAGTCATAGAGGTGCCGTGGGGAGGCAGATGGGAACGGGTGAGGCTCTAGGAAGTCAGAACCTGGTGACGTGATCAGACGGGAGAAGCGAGGACGGTGCCAAATGAGGAGAGACGTGACTGCGCAAGTAGTTGTGAATGTGTTTTACTAGTCTTCTAGGTTGTAAAGAGCCAATCCGTATGTCTGTCAACGTTCGCCAGCGTAATGTCGCAGTTGTTCTGGAATACATACACACGAGATTTGCTATTCAGATATGATGAACGACCGCGTCCACCCTCGTGCTTGTCTGACATGTCGCACCAAATCAATCGACAAAACGGTCGCCTCAGCTGCCGCATTTGGTGCGTGTGGGCGGTCGACAAAGTGCCTCACAATAGCGCATAAATTACCAACGCCACCACCCAGAAACGCAAGTCAACCTCGGATGTATCTTCAGAAGCTGCCCTACCACAGCGGGGTTCATGGGCATCAGAACTGGGAGGGCGTGGGCAATCGCTACGAGATATCGCTGATGATTCTGCCGTTGCGCCTTTCCACCGTCATCATCAAGCGAGAAATAAATATTCAGCAACAAGGTCTTTGCCTTGCAGGCTGCGATTGACTACTTTTTATTCAGATCTGTGCATCGTCATTCATGGCGATTTGGTTGCGTGCATGCTGCTACCTACAAATCTCACTCTTCCCCTGTCCAGACTGTCGCCCCAAACATGCAATAGGAAGTTCCCCTTCAAGAGTAACTGACCAGGACAGCAACATGACCTTGACACAGAATGGCGCACCGTCCATCACTCCTGCGCTACAATCGCATCCTGCGCCAGAGCTCGCCGCGCAGTCGCATCTCCACAGACTCGCGCATGTTAAACGCTGCGCCGCGAGTGTCTCCGCACTCATAAACGCCACATGGCGAATGCCGCGCCACCATCGTCGCCGCCGCCGCAGAGTGCGTCGTAAAACATCGTCGGATCGTCGGACGCGCCGTCCGGACAGCCGGCGGATTTAGGGGCGCGTGCAGCCGTCTGACGAGCCCGATTTGGAGAGACACCTCGTCTGCGGAATGCGGCAGGCGCGCGCGGGGCCATGGGAAGGGCAGGGGTAGAGGACCCGGAAGGAGCTGTGTTCAGAGGAGTGTGCGGTGAAGCAATATCGGAAGGTGACGCAATGATTTCAGCCGGAGTACAGTTGGGCGGACGGATGGCAATGCCAGGATGTAGGGCGAGTTGCAGCAATTGTATGATGCGTCATTGGTCAATGAAAAGTGACAGCAACACTTTCGAGGCTGCTTGCTGATTTCAAAGACTGTGTCGCAGTGTTAGCAGAGCAGCATCGAATACGTTTACCGACTTTCCAATGAAAATGCGTCCACTTTCAAATTTGCACAATGTCTTGAATGAAACGAAATTAACGCCGAGTCGCGACCGAGGTCGCAATCTGCTGCTTTTTTCATGTTCGGCTCGCACTTGTACGCTTTTTTCAGAGCTTCGTATGTATAGTTTATTCTTCATGTAATTTAAAGTTTTGCATTTGATTGTAACACCTAATCCTGAAAAAAACTTATGGCGCCCATTTCAGCGCCTTCCGTCGAGCAGCAAGACGTTACCTTTGCAAGGCAACCGTTCGGTGGAGAAGGAAGTCATGATTCACACTTGGTGCAAGTAGGTACGGCGCTTCATAAGATTGGGCTCTGGAGAGTTTGAGTGAGCACCTGGTAGCGTGACTGCCTGTGACTGAATCGCACCCTTGTCTCTCTGAGGTGTGTTTCCCAACACTTATCTCCGTCCCTTCGTCGGTGCCATTTGCGGCTGTCATACCGTAATCGGGCTAATAATAAGCCATGAAAGTAATGCCGCTTGTTTCGCTGACAAGCTCTTGATAAAGTGACTCATTATTTGCAATTTTCATGATTAAAATAGTGTCACAGCGACTGTCGGGCGAAGGTGGCGACCAGAACTGCTGATGGAGTCTCCGACATCTGTCGAGGGCTCTTGGGGACGGCGGGGCCACGCCTTGATGCGGCACATTCCATGCCGGGTCGCCGGGGAGACAGGCCTGCAGCGCCCATGACCCATTTGGACTGTCATCCCCGATGACTGTCGATCTGGCGACAAATGACAGAGCCGGACCGCGCGGTCAGCGGTGCCCGCTCGGTGACCCCGCCGGCGGCCCGGCAGGGTCGGGGGTCACCGTGGCGCCGGCACCGTCACGGTCTAGCCGTGAATCGATGGGCGCCGACCACGCGCCGGCGTTCCCCCGACGGTCACCGTGACCGATCCGGCCCGACAGATAGCCGCGGTCAATAATAAATAGCCGGATCGGCACGGTCACGGATGTGACACGGGTCGGTCGGAGAGGGGGACGTCGCCCGGAGCCGCTGACTCACGAAGGGCGGCGGCCGACCGACGCCCCTCGCCCGACCCGGTCCGGATCGGCCCGGCTCCGGGTCCGGCGCCTCTCCTCAGCGGGGAGCAGCGATCGAGCACGCCCGGGCTTTGACAAACAACCGCAATCGCAGCGGCGTTCACCAGCAACGGCGGGGGGCAGCACAGCTTACCTGCAAATAATTGTTCTGATGTCGTGACAGGGCGGCCATTAGGTCAGCTAATCGCTGCTTTATTACAGGTATTACAGCCCTTTTCTGCCGCGCGCACTTATCCCGCCGTCCCGTGCCAGGAGCGTTGTGCAACACGGGCAGTCGTGGCGGAATGCCGGCGCCGCATGCCGACAGTGCCTGTCGGCGCGGCCGGTCCCGGCGGACCGCCTGCACGCCGTGCCGACAGCGCCGCAGCGTGGATGCACGCCCCCGCTCCAAATGGCGTCATTTATTCACAGCGGAGACCTGGAATTGCCGACTGGAGCTCTCCATTGGACCGTCCGACGACAAACATTTGGTGGAGGCGGCTGTTTGGGAGACAGCAGTTTAGTGATGAAACACATCGAAGAATAAGTATTTGACACCCGTTCTACATCATTTTCGTAACCACACCACCTTAAGTTCAATGTTTATGTCAATGTTTTCTAGTTTACCCCGATTTAGCTGCGCATTCCACTGCTTAACGCCGATTTCTATTCCTGAATGACTCCTGACTCAACTCTGTGAGTTTGGGCCGGGCGGGGCAAGACCTCTCGAGTGCGAGAGTCGAAGACGACTAACGGCGACTAACGGCGGCTAACGGCCACTAACGGCCGATTTAGCCCGTAATGGCCGCACCGACGGAGCGCCGTGCAATTAGACGTGTGCCGAGGTAAATCTGATCACGGGTAACGTGCCGATCGCTGCGGGCCTCGGCCGACCATCAGGGCCACCAAACAACCGACCACCGGGGTCAGGTGGCGAGCGGCGAGAAAACGCTCAACAACGCCACGGTCAACACGCTGGGAGAACAGCTCGAGCAGTGAAGGAAAGGCACGCCGCTGACCTGGGGCGTTCAGAGCCCCAGCTGAGGCCAGCCAGCTCACAATCTAATTTCAGAAGATAGATAGATAGATATTTATTCACAAAAGGTCCACTCAAAAGTGTGGCTTTTCACTTCCGCACGTCACAAAATAAGACATGAGTAAACATTCACACGCAGCTACGTAAACAGGGTTAAAAGGTTAAAATGAACTAAAAGAAGATAAAGAGCACCAGTTACATAGGAACATCTAAAATTATTCAGTTACCGGACGCCGACCGCTCGGACCTCAGGTGTCTTTTCACGGCTGCCCTGTTCACAGTGCCCTGCGTTCTGCGCACGCTGTTATAGCCCTGCACGGCGCTATAGCACAGCCGATTCCGCCCCGCCTCCGTATGTATGCTCGGCAGTGACAAGCTGTCGGCATCTCGAGTGTCGTGCCGATGCAGCCGGCTCGCTGGGGGACCAATGGTTTCAGCAAGCACCGCTGGCACACGGTGTGTCACAAGTCGATGTACGGACATAATCCTGTGGTACTGAATAAGCTGCTCAGCAGTGAGCCATCTGACATGACAAATGACGTCAGCAACGCGCTGATGTTTGCGTCGCCCGCTCAGCACTCGCGCGGCAAAGTTTACCAGCTTTTGTAGCCGACGCTTCTCCGTCTGACCACATACGCCGAACACCGACAGACAGTATCGCATCGCTGACATCATCAACGCGTCGATCAGATACTTGATCGTGCCGCGAGGCAGGACATGTTTTGCATTGTTTAAGGCGAGCAGCATTCCTGTGCATTTTTGAACGATCAGGCTGACGTGAGACTGAAAAGACAAGTTTCGATCAAAAATGACGCCTAGATTTCGCACCTCTTTGGTAGCTCGAATGGTCGATGCATTAAATTTCACAGACACATCAGGAGTAAGAGCAAGTAATTGTCTACTTCCAAATACCATTAACTCAGTTTTTGCAGCGTTCACTTTCATTCCATGGTGACAGAACCAGTCAAACAAACACTGCAGAGCAGTTTCGATCCGACTGACCAAGGCAGGTAGGTCGCGTCTCTTTCCACTAGTCCATATCTGTGTATCATCAGCAAACTGAACTATGCGCACTGAGTCTGGAACGTGCAGGCACAGGTCATTGGCAAATATGCACCAGAGAACGCAACTCATCGATCCGCCCTGGTAAACGCCAACCGAATTCTCCCTGATAGACGATCGAGATACGGATCCAAGAGCACTATTTGTAAGTTGTACTTGTTGGGTATGTCCTTCCAGATAATGTTTGATCCAAAAAGTGTCTATTCCGTACAGAGACAGCTTTTCTAATAGCTTATCGTGCGGTACCATATCGAAACACTTTGACAGGTCTACCATAGCCCACAGAGTGATTTCACTTCTGTCCATCGCTCCGAGTATGTCGTCTGTCACCACGTGAAGAGCTGTTTCACACGAAAGGCCGCCGCCCAGTCGCGCTCTGAAGAAACAACTCCACTCGCCTCAGTCGTGGGGTCGTCAAAGCCTCGCTCTCGTGCTGCCAGGAGCGGGGTCAAAAGTTGTCTGGGAAACCCGCCGCACTGTGTGACCCTT